ATTTCGTAGACTGTATCATTGTTTTCGATTGTATGCAGCGGCGTTTACTGTGGTCTATCAAACTGCAAAACGGCATGCCACCAAAATCACTACGATTGATGAAGTGTTGCTATCGCAGAAAGGGATCCGGCAGTTTGAGAGCGGTGACGTTCACTGATTGCCCCACGGAGTGGACGCAGCAAGGGTGATTTGCGTTTATTGTGTGGCGGACTGGCGAAGCATCTATCTGGCTCCAATGCGTCGTGGCTTTCGGCCTGTCTCTTGCCGAACATCGACATATCAGCATGCTGTATTGCCGTGTCCGACACGCTGTCTTACGCGTAGAGAAAGCGAACTACAGAAACTGGGACTTGAACTGTCCCTGAAAAAGATACTCACTTTTATACAAACCTAATTACCCTTGCATCACTTGTAAATCTATATCATGACCAAAATTAACAGACGGTTTTGCTGAAAACTGTTAATGCTACTTTCAAAAGAAAGCATATTCCTCTCTCCGTCTCTCTCTCTCTCTCTCTCTCTCTCTCTCAGCCTTCGCACACCCCCTCCCCCCACCTTCATCCGTGAAGCACACCCCAAAAGACCACGACTGTCGACAAAAAGTAGACCTGCTCTTTTCATTGATTTTTAAAATTTGCTCAAAGGCAACAAAAGGTAACTGTAAAATAACAGGGGTTGGAGGCGGGAATCTATAAAAGGAGGCATGTGGATCTACAAAAGAACAGGGTGGGGTGGGGGGGGCGACTATTTGGATTGAAATGGCATCACTAGGCCTGGAAGACCGCAGACGGTCTGGCAATAGCGGCCCCGCAGGCAAGACAGCGAGCCCGTGGCCCAGTGATTAGAGGCGTTGGACTTCTGACTAACAGATCGCGAGTTCGAGCCCCGGGTATTTCTCACTTCGGGGTTGGGTATGACTGGCTGGCGACGGCTAATAAGCTAGAAATGACCACTCCAGTCTTCCTTGTTTATGTCCGTAATACCAGTCTGCCTAATTCAGTCTGTGTTTCGACTGTGAGCCCCTCTCACTCCTGAGTCCCTAGACAAGCTCCCCAACAAGATATCGTCTTTCTAGGTACCTCAAATCTCTCATTCTCCCTTCATATTGAAACCCTTTGCATTAAAATTCACAAGCTCATTTACTACATTCATCGTTTAAGTCGATATTATAGTACAACGGCATTTCGCAAACGGTTCAGGCAACTTATTGATCGGCTTCTGAATGATGTTGTCCACCCTCTTCATTCTGAGCCAACTGCTGTGAAGTCCTCCCGCCCCCTGCGCCGTGGCTTTCAAAGCATCTCTTGCTCAACATCGACGCATCAGCGTGCTGTATTTCCGTGTCTGACACAATGTCTTACGCGTAAAGAAAGCGAACAACAGAAACTGAGACTTGAACTCTCCTCGAAAAAGATACTCACTTTTATACAAATCTAATTACCCTTGCATCATTTGTAAATCTATATCGTGACCAAAATTAACAGCCAGTTTTACTGAAAATCGTCAGTGCTACTTTTGAAAGAAAGCATATTCCTCCGTCTGTCTGTCTATCTCTTTCTCACTCTCTCTCGACCTTCACACACCTCCTCCCCAATCCCCATCCTTGAAGCGCACCCCAAAAGACTACGACTGACGACAAAAAAGAAAATCCTCTCTTTTCATTGGTTTTTAAAATCTGCTCAAACGCAACAAAAGGTAACTCTAAAATAAAAAAATAACAGGGATTGGAGGCAGAAGTCTATAAAAGGAGGCATGTGGATCTGCAAAAGAACTGGATGGGGGAGGGGGTCTCTTTGGGTTGAAATGCCATCACCCGGCCTGGGAGACCGCAGACGGCCTGGCGATAGCGGCCCCGCAGGCCGCTGATTGGCTGTAATGTTTGTACAGGAGTCCCATGCGGGAAAAGGAGCGGGGACAGGCGGGGCACTTGTAGCGCTTGTCGCTCTGATGCGTCTGCATGTGGGCCCGCAGGTTGGACCGGTCCGCGAAGCAGCGGTGACATGTGGCGCACTGGTAGGGTCGTTCACCCGTGTGTGTTCGTTCGTGACCCTTGAGGAGCCATTTACGCGAAAAGGACTTGCCACAGTAGGTACACTGGCAGGGCAGCGTGTGCGTGCGTACATGCATCTTGAGCGCCGAGGGTTGGCTGTAGACCTTGTCGCAGAGCCGGCATGCGTGCGGCGCTGGGGAGACGCAGGGGGACCCTGGCACCAGCGGGGGCCAAGAAGCGAAGTCCTGGCAGGGTCCCCCGCCTGCCGCTTCACCCGGGCTGGCAGCTGGATCGGTGAGGAGTCTGCTCTTTGGAGGCTGGTATCTCGGCGGGGTCTGGTACTCTCCACTTCCAGCTGTCAGGGTCACGGAGGTAGATGGCGATCCGCTGACGCGTCTTGGAGCCAATGGGGTTGAAGCTGCTGCGGGGGGCCGTAACCCGGCGGGGCTGCCTGTTAGCGTAGAGGCGAAAAATGCCAGCCACGCGCTGTAATCAGCCTGGTATAGCGCCGGTGGGACCAGATACGGAAGGGAAAGCAAGTTGGGGGTGATCGTGGGTGGCTGTTTTGAGGTCGACTCAGACTTGAGACGCGTTAACATCACGTCCGGTGTAGGAATCAACGCGAAAGGAGGGAATTGGGTCGGTGCCGGCGGTGACGACGGCGGTGGTGGTGGTGGTGGATTCCTGGACCCCTTCAAGGAGAGGTCAGTGGGTTCCTTCTGCACGTCACTATTAGGCCAGCAGTGATCTGGATCCACTGAAAGATTCGAGGAAGAGGAGGAGGAGAGCGAGCTGACGAGGAAATCCTGGCTGGAGCGGAGAAGGTGTGCCATTGTCTGCTGCAGGTGTACTGGCGTACTCGGCAACTTCATTTGACTGGGCGGTGATGTTGAGCAAGGGGAGATAGAGTTCATCGTGTTTGGACTTCTCGGCTCCGAAGATCCGTGCGGCGACTTCCAGGGCTGCCATGTCATGGAGGAAGTGCGTCGTCGACAGCAGGGCTCCGGGAGACTTCGCTCTTCGAGATTCTGGGTCATGGCTTAAAGAGAACAAACAGTTTTTGTTTACTAAATAGTACTCTGACGTGAGAATATTGTGTCGTTTCGAGAGTCGGCACGATCCTTGTTTGTTTCTTGCAGCAAAATTGAAAATGACAACAATATATGAGTGCTGTTCGTGGTCTCCAGTCACGTGACTGTCACGGGCCTCCTTTATTCTCATAGCCAACTGTAGGACGCAGGTATTCCGAGACTCATGCCTCGGGTAGCTCTTAGCCACCATACCATGGCACGGTGAGAGCAGACACAGTGACTTGTGCGTAAGTTAGTTTATAGCGGTAATGGACTTGCGCAACTTCTGCCTCACTCGCTCCTCCCTACTCCCTACCTGGACCCGGGGTCAGAACACAGCCAAGAAGACCAGAAGCAGGGGAGGGCGCAACTGGGTGGCGCGGCCGGGCCCACACCTAGGCGTGACACCACAACCCCTGTTCCACACAGTCAGTAACCAGGATTTTAACCAATAACGACAACAGCAGCAGCAGCGGAGAGGCGTGGATGACTGGGCAACCATGCCCACCACCAGCATACTCAGCGGGAGCGCAAGCACATCTACCGTCAGGGAGAACCAGGTGCCAGGGAAGTGCCAGCACATACCAGGCTGTAAGGGCCATGGGTTGCGGATCCTGGAATAGCAGACGCTTTCTGACCTGAAGGTCCTGCACCAGGTAGAACACGCAGTCTTTCTGTGGATCGAAGCGAGGGCAGACATGGTATTTGAGCAGTCCGCATCTCCTCCTTCATCTCATCAAGAACAGTAACCACCTTCTCCTCTAGCCCAATACCGCTTGACTCATTCCTGACTTGAGTTTAAAGCGTTTTGTGATCTTCACTTGATGACAAGGTTATTGATACCTTGGCCCAGGAGAAACTTTAATAAGGGCCGCCATGAATTTGTGTCGGTCGGCTGGTGAGCACTAGCTGGTACGTCTTTTAGAGAAGGTTAATACCTATATCGGTAGTACGGTAATAATACGTTCGCCATATACATCTCATACTACTTGTAGTACCATTCGTTTGTAGAATAGGCGTTACGTGGTTATTCCACAATAGTTGGTAGTCTTTGATTCGAATGTTCATTGAAATTTCGAGTCTGACCTTAAAAAGTTACGTCCCGGAGACTTAACTCCATGTCCTGCAACGGGCATCGGGCTCGTGGCCCGGTGGGTAGAGGCGTGGACTTCTAACTAACTAACAGGTCGCGAGTTCGAGGCTCGGGTATTCCACGCTTCGGGCTTGGGTATGGCTGGCTGATGACGGCTAATAAGCCAGAAATGGCCATTCCGGTCTCCCTTGTCTTTGTCGGTATTACCTTTCCAACATATATCACTAGTCGCTGTGCGACTGCCTGCGAGGGTTTAAGTATGAGCCCCAAGGCACAACGGAACGAGCATGTTCCGTAACCTGATCGGTGAGCGCCCACTATCATAATTAATATTCCCGATCACAACCGACATGACAACGGGCCCGTTGCTCAATGGTAGAGCGTTCACCTCCATGACCAAAGATCCCGGGTTCGAATCTCAAGTGATCCACACTTGGGGTTGGGTATGACTGGCTGATGACGGCTAATAAGCCAGAAATGGCCATTCCGGTCTCCCTTGTCTTTGTCGGTATTACCTTTCCATATATATATATATATATATATATATATATATATATATTCATTTTGGTAGCGGGCCCTCAAAGATCTCGTTACGGGACCTGCTCGTCCCCTTGTGTCTGGGGACTAGATCAAAAGACCTCATGCTCTCTCGGCGACTGCTTATATATGCAGGGAGCGATTACCGACAAAGTCTCCGTCAGCCATGGCCAACCTGAATGCTTTACCACTGAGCTCTCGTCAATCCAGATTAAACCTTAAGGCACAACGGGGCGAGCATATCCCGTAACCCGATCGATGAACGAAACCTGATCAGTGGGCGTCTCTCCACCACAAACATATATGTATATACATCTTCGGTAGGCGGCGTAACTCATGAAAGACTAACTAATTCTAAAATATTATCCCAGTCAGAAGGAATTATTTTGTCGGTGTTTTGACATCGCTTATCTTGCAGCATTGCCCAGGGTATTCCGTTCACGCCAAGGTGCCGCTTTTTGAATGCACTGGAAAAAGTCACATCCGTTTAAGAATGTGTACAAATTTGCATGACGTTTCTATTGATTTTCGATGCTCGAGTAAATCCGAACGCACTTAGTAGAAAGTATGCACAAACATATTAATTGTATACTCCTCTTGTTATAAATTGCGTCCTCTTTAAATTTTTTACTCAAAAATTGGTGACCATTCGGTTTCAGAAATTTGTGCGTTAAACGTCTACTCAGACCAGATTGCACCTCCTTATGGAGTGCGGGACATTTGACTGCATCACCTGCATCTTTTAGTGAATCCGACATGACACCTTCTTAGTAGCATGGAGGACTGTAATTTTTTTCCTAACTGAAAGATGTATTCTCTAGAATTTAAAACACATAAGCGCGAAGGCAACGGCAAGTCGAGTTCAGGGTTATTTTGAAAATGAAGAACCTTTTAAAACTGAAGAATGCTCTCTATTCATTTATAAAATCTCAAGCAGATATGAGTTAGTGCAAAACTGAGCACCAGAAAGTACCTCTATATGAACATCTAAAAAAATATGCTTGAACCCATAGGGGCACCGAAAAACAGTAAACAAAATGCAAGCTGTATATGTAGTCCATTTTAGTGAGAATGATTTTTACAAACGACGGGAAAGACGGCATGCTAATGTGCATAAAATATCGCGAGATTGTACTGCCCAATAATCAATATTACTACCTAGTCTATGAAAGTTCTTCAGACCGAGTTCACGAAATACCTCAACTTTAAGTTTTAAAACGATGCGACTTTCTGCAGTTAGGCGACATCTGTTTTGTGATTATTTCAGTATTCTTTCCTAACCTAGATCATAGTTAGACACATCGGTCCCTCCCTGTCTCCTGCAAACGTGGTAGTGGCTTTCACTGGAGGATGCCAGAGTCTGATTTAGATCACGGGTCTCCGATCTGTCTGTCTTGAAGTGGCCGCGAACAAGTCAGAAGCGGTCATTTCGGTCTTTTCTGGAGGCACCTCCCGAGCAGTAATATCTTGACGCTACGCAACCACCCCCGAGGGCTTTTGAGTCTGGTCTCTATTGTGAAACGAGTGATCCAGACTCTGCCTTGTAATCAGGGTGGGCTTGTAAGTAAAACTATTACCAATACGACAAGTTACAGTCTGATCGCATCTGTTTACTGACGAGAAACGACACGCAGTCATCTCACCTATCCACCCACGAATTTACGCCGCCAAAGTCTCAAGCATGAAACTTTGGAGTGTAGACTCATGTTGGTTAATTAACTATTGAATCTTTTCCGCATAGCTGCAAGTCAGTGTGAGTAAATTTTGTACCATATAAATCAGAGTAAATACCACTATCTTGTCGTATACAGTTACCACGGTTTCTTTTTCTACGCTGCTACCAAACAAATAAGTGGGACGAGCATGCTTTTAAATGTATCATTTTGGGGACAGATATCCTAACATCGGCTGAACCATTGCAGCCCTGGAAGACCAATACAATTACCATGCTGTCGCACAGGCCTTATGCACATCACTCAACGATGGCTTTGGAGTGATGTTAGCGGTTGTCGCGTTCATGGGATACATCGCGGCCAAGGAGTTGATTTCAGGAGGGAGCAATTATATTCCACTTCAGCCAAAAGGAGATCTTTTGAAAAATTTAGACCTTTCTAAGCCTCAGAAAAGCTACGTTACAGAGCACTCCGGTGGAAGATTCGACCTCTTGTCGACACATGGCCTTCCTCCATGCTTTTCAGACCGGTTGTCTGCTAAGTTGATTCTTCCTCGACTATCTTTCAACTAAGTGACGCATCTGAAGTCCAAATCCCATAGCAATCAAACCAACTTTTAAACCCGCTTCCCGTATTTCGAAATGCAATTATGTAAGGCATTAATATAAAATACACTTACCAGGCAGTTCCCAAGGTTTCTTCAGATAAATGTAGGAAGCGATGATAACGGAATCCCTGACACGTGCCTCACTGTAGGTCAGTGTTCCTCGAAATGCCTGTGTGGTGGCCTCCCCCGGTAAACTTGGCTAACACCTTGATCGCCCTGTGCTCAAACCGCCTCACCAAAAGGCTATTGGTCAACGTTCACTTGCTCACTGTGGGAAGGGGGGTGCCGTGCGCGCAGATTAGCGAACAGGCGCCTGGAGCTATTTCTTCTCGCTCTGTGATTGGCTGTCCACAGAACTGAGCGCACGCGAGCTGAGCAGCAGTAAGCCAATAGGAAACAAGGTTCATGTTGATATCGGTGGTGGAATGCAGACGCGCTAAAGCAAAAAAGTTCTCGTCGTCCCACCAACCAGTTACCAATTTAATTGCTAAAATACTATTTTCTTGAGATGCTGAAACGTCCGGAAATGTCAGCAAAAGCTCGACAATGACAATTTCAGCAATTTCAAGAAGTCGGTGGTTGGGATTAAACCGGACTATAAGATCGAGTGTTCTCCGGGAGGGTGTAAATCATCCTACCCTCTTTAGCGGGCATAGGTCCAGATGCAACTACCTAGAATCGCATTTTGCTTGACGTAAGAGGACCATTTTCTCTAGCGTATGGGCTCTCTTACTAAAGTGTCGCTTTTACTCAATCCTTCGTAGGCGTGCGGTCGATCAAGGAAACGCTTAGAAGTACTTTGGTTGGATTCTTAAAGTGGGCATTTTGCAGATCGCAGTGGACTTGCCGCCTACTTCTTTTACCTCGACATCAGGAATTCTTAAGTTTGCCGAAAAAGACGTAATTAGGACATTCTGCTGGAGAGAGAGAGAGAGCGAGAGAGAGAGAGAGAGAGAGAGAGAGAGAGAGAGAGAGGAAATCGCTTTATTTTGAAGTCATAAATTCAAAATTTTCAGCAACAAATTAACTCCATTCCCTATGGGTTGTAAATAAGTTA